ACTGACTGGACACTCCAGTACATTAACACTGCACTGAGAGAGAAGGGTTAATACAGACACACTGACTGACTGGACACTACAGTACACTAACACTGCACTGACAGAGAAGGGTTATTTAAGACACGGCTTGTACAGAACATTAAATTGGCCAATTTTTTTCAGTAACCTTCAGTCCTTCCACGTCTTCAGCGAAGAGAGATGTGGGTTGATCTGTAAGATTCCTGACAGACACATTTTTTGACAAAACGAACATCTGATGTTAGGCAGTGGACCTACTATCCTAGTAGGCGGGTCTTCCTAACGGTGTTCCTGTCCTGTTAGCATGACGCCCGATGCCCTCACTCTCCTGCACGACTGCAGTGTGCCCACCGTGAGCCGATCAGCGCTGCGGCGGCTGTTTGGCCCCGATCTCCGCACCCGACACGCAGAGCGATCCGCGTCCTTCTCCGTCTCCTCACCGCTGAGTTGACGTAGGACCTCGAAGGGAGTCACAACCGAGTAAACTGCTAATCTGGCACGATTTTTTCACGGAAAGTAATAAATTCACGAACAGAAAAGTGAACAAACCTCAGCGACTGTGACAGCGGCTCGCAATACAACACATCCTCCTCGTCACCCGGAAGTATATGTCGGACCGGCGCATTTCCGGGTCTCGCTCACGGGAAGAGGTTCCGGAAGCATCACGCAGAGGAAGCTGGGTTTCAGTTGCTGTGGAAACGAGCGAGACGCTCTTGACGCTACCGAAGGGGGTGGAGATGTTATTGTAGTTTAAATGATTAATCTTTTTATAACATTTAAGCATTACTGAAGGCTTTTTCATCCTAAACGCTAACCTCAGAATTCTGGGCTAAGATACGTTTTCAGAAAATCATCTTAGAATGAAGGGAGAAGGCCTTTTGACAATGGTAAGACTTCGTCTCAGCGTGGTCGGGCTAGCCATCTGGTACCGGCTTTGCTCTGCTTTTGCAAAAAGATAACATTCTGAAAAAATGGGTTAACAACAACACGGCCTGACTATTGTTTTTGTGGGTTTGTTCTCTCTCCTCTCCTATCTTGTCCCACACCTTCTCTCTCCTCGCCTGTCCTATCCTACTCAGTCCCTCTCCCTCTCTACTCCCCCCTCCTGTCCTGTCCGTCTCACCCTCTCTCCTCTCCTACTCCCTCTGTCCCTCTCTCTCTCCTGTCCCACTGCCTCTCTCTCCTCTCTTTCTCTCCTGTCCCTCTCTCCTCTTTCTCCTGTCCCTCTGTCTCTTCTGTCCCATTGCTTCTCTCTCCTGTCCCTCTCCTCTCTCTCTCCTGTCCCTCTCCCTCTCTCCCTTCTGTCCCATTGCCTCTCTCTCTCTCTCCTGTCCCTCTGTCTCTTCTGTCCCATTGCCTCTCTCTCCTGTCCCTCTCCTTCTCTCTCTCCTATCTCACTCCCTTTGTCCCTCACCCTCTCTCTCCCTCAGTCTTTCTGATAACGCCCTGTCCCCTGTGCTCTTGTCTCTGCAGCCTCGCCCTCTGAAGCCCAGAGTCCTGCTGTGGTGAGTTCAGTCTCCCTCTCCTGCAGCTTGTTCTGCACTATTAAAATGCAGGCTTGTGAGATGGGCTCTGTCCTTATCCTGATGTGATTCAGGTTGGAAACTGGCAGACACAGTTTTTTGCAGTTTGTGTTTCCCAGTGATTCCCCCAAGCTGACGTAGTACCAGTTAGGTAAGACCTGAACTGGACAGAGATGTTATTAAGCCTGCTGTGTTTATGGGAGCTCCCTTCACGATGATGGCTTATAAAACAAACACATCTGACAGCAGCTACATGACCCTGCAGCTCACAGCTTGCAACCCACTGAAGGGAGACTCCTGGGAAAGCTGAGCTTGCTGCTGGAAGAGATGTTAGTGGGGCCAGTAGGGGGCGCCCCAGCATAGTGATGGGGACACTATACTGTAAAAAGGCACCGTCCTTCTGATGAGATGTGAAACCGAGGTCCTGACTCTCTGTGGTCATTAAAAATCCCAGGGTGTTTCTTGAAAAGAGTAGAGGTGTTACCCCAGTGTCCTGCCAAAATTTCCCCCTGGCCTTTACCAGTCATGGCCTCCTAATAACCCCCTTATCTGAACTGGCTTCATCACTCTGCTCTCCTCCCCACTGAGAGCTGGTATGTGTGAGCAGACTGGAGCATCATCCAGGAGAGGAGACCCCATTACCTGTAAAGAGCTTTGAGTGGAGTGTCCAAAAAAGCACTATAAAGGTGTGAGATTATTATTATTATATGATTATTATTACATCTTGGACGGGTAGTTATTGCTGAGATCCCTGCAGGGTAGCTGATGCCGTGGGGCGCAGGGGCGCCCCAGCAGTCTGGTCAGGGCAGTCAGTGACTCCGGCCGTCTGTGTGCAGGGCAGACCTCAGCTACGCCGACATGGAGGAGGTGGAGGCGGCGCAGACGACAGAGGAGCTGCAGAGGTCAGACCCAGAGCCTCCATACGTGTGTTACTGGTCCGATTTCACCCGCCGCGGTGCTTTCGTAAGGGCCTCGTGGCAGGGACGCTCAGCTGAGCCACCAGTGCAGTGTGAACTCTCCCCCCCTCTGGCTCTCTCTCCCTCAGAGCGCTGGGCAGGGCGCTGGCTCTGCAGCTGTCCCGGCCCAGTGACAGCATCCTGGCCGACATGTACCTGTACGCTGTGCTGTTCTGCAGAGAGAGGCAGTTTAACAGGGAACAGACCTCAGTGCTGGTGTCCATCGTCAGAGCCCTGCACCTCGCCAATACTGGTAATCACAGCTCTGTGACCCCACACAGGAACCCCACAATGCCACTGTCTGTGACCCCACACTGTTTCAC